CTCGCGCATTTAAAATCGCCAGCTATTATCTTGATATCGTACGAGCGCGCTCCTATTACAAGCGAGCGAGTGCGCAATGTCAAGGTGAAGTGACGAAGGATGCGCGCGAGAAATCGCGAGCCGGATGCGATCGTCATGGGCTGGCAGCAGGCAATGTTACGTGGGCAGCGTAAAGGGTCGGACCAGGAAATGACGAAAACGTGTGCAGTCGTGGCAATGGCGGCGGCGGTGGCAGTAGCAGCAGCAGCAGCAGCAGCAGCAGCAGCAGCAGCAGCAGCAGCAGCAGCAGCAGCAGCAGCAGCAGCAGCAGCAGCAGCAGCAGCAGCAGCAGCAGCAGCAGCAGCAGCAGCAGCAGCAGCAGCAGGGGGGCCCCCGGGGGGGGGGGGTGTCGGCGGAGGCCGGCCTCGGTCGTGAGTCGCCGCAGCGCGCAACAATGAAGTCGATCAGCTGTTCGGCTTTTGTGCCGCGGCCTGTTGCCGGGCGGCGGCGCATCGGTGGCGGCCCGCACGCGCGCATTCGTTTTCCTCTCCCACTCGACCAGGCGTGCATTACGCAACGCACTTTTATTGCATAAGAAGTGCCGGTGACGAGGGGGCGACGAAATGAGGAGGTGGAAGAGGAGGAGACGAAGCGATCGGAGGGTAGCGGGACCGGGGAACTGGTCATAAAGCGTGTCACAACGCGTGCAGCGCATAACGCTTGAGAACGATACTGCAACAGCAGCAACAGCAGCAGTAGAAGCAGCAACAGTAGAGGTAGCAACAACAACAACAACAGCAGCAGCAGCAGCAGCAGCAGCAGCAGCAGAAGTAGAAACAGAAGCAGAAGTAGAAACAGCAACTGCAGCAGCGGTAGACATCTGCTTCGGTTCATTTTTAATCGCTGGCCAGATACTAATTTATTGGCCCGGCGTTGGAAAAATTTGTGCCTCGCTCACTGCAGGCGGCCTTGATCTTCTTCTCCGACGAGACTCGAATTTATTATTTTCCCAAGACAGCTTCGATCTTTCCAGTCTGTCTCCAGCCCCCGCCCCCGCCCCCGCCGTCATCGCACTCTCGCTCGTTTATCGAGACGGTGGCAGTTCTATCATCCCGATCCAAAGCGCTTATACTTTTCCTTTTCCTATTATATTTCTTCTTCTTTTCTTTTTGCTATTATTTTCTTTACGCAAACGCGAGCATTTCATAACACTGCACGCTTTTATTCATCGCGATCAACAGTAAGACGATCCTACCCGCAGGCGCCGGCGGCCGCATCGCTCAGTACGGTGGCGCCACCCTATTATTTTTAACGAAAAATCAGCAAGAGTCGAAGCTTGCGACCGAGCAAAGCTAGAATTTAATAAAATCTAGTCCGCTACCTTGACGCGAGCGAGAGGCAAAAACGATCGATTTTTCACGCTCGAATCACGTGATAAAAATAACTCGTAATTAAAGATTGCGCACGAAACTGCGCAGTACTTATATGCACTCGGACTGGCGTATAATGTCGGCCGATCGAACTTAGCTGCGGGCGCTTCAAAGGCCAATCAATTCAATTAAAAAAGTCATCCTCCTGTCGTTACGTCCCTCGGTCCCGCGCGCTCTCGCGCCCACGCGCTCTCGCACTCTCGGATTTTCGCATTTTTCGCAATGTCATCGCCTCGAGTGACGGACACGCCGGGATTTTGAAGCGCGACGTATAAAAACGACTGGATTCTCCGAATTTTGCTTGTCCAGACTTCATTGACTCTTGACGTAGCAACAAATCCATTGCTAAAGGAAGTTTTACGAGTACGTCGAGGATGATCTTCCAAGGACACGCGAGTGCTGCAAGCGTGGCTACGTAAACGATAACGCGTAACGATGGGGGGAAAAAAACATGGGACGAATAATTGGGGGATAAAGTATTGAGATAATCGACGCGACGCCTGAGCCTCTCCACTAAATCGTGGTGGCGGCGATAAATATTCTTCCCAGTCCGTCGCCTCAGCAGTATTAATAAGATAGGTGATTAAGCGTGTACGCGTGCCGAAAGCGTAATAACGTGATTAGTCGTATTACTCGCGGAAGGAAGTAAGGGAGCACGTACGCGCGTGCGAATTATATCTGCGATTCTTGAAAAATCGAAATAATGAAAGCGAAAGATTTTTCCATAAGATCGCGCATTAAGATAGAGAGTGCGCGTCGCGATGGACTTTCTCGGATATGGCATAGAACGAAATAAGTCATGGGGGTTCGGTGGAATGGAAAAGTAGCCTAGACAATGGGAACGAGAGGCTTTTCCATTCGCGGGAGAAATTGCGCTAAGAATGCGGATGTGAGAAAGGAGTCATTGTTTGCTTCCGGGTCGATTGGTCGATAGGAGCTTTTCAGTCTCCAAATGCACCCAAGCTCGCGCACGCACATGCCCAGGCATACTCACACACCCTCCCCAACACCTATAGCGAACGAACCAACTAATTATGCAGTTAGTCACTTTTATTTTCAAATTTGCAGGCTTAGCTCGAAATAGTTGTAAGCGTTGTCGGCAATATTTTTAGACGCTAGTAGCACCGTACTAGTTGCAAATTGCAATTTCGCGTTCCTTAAGGTTATACACATCGATTTTTGTTTTCAAAGCATTATTACCGATACTTTACGCCAATTTCATGACGTTAATGTTTCGGCGATGCAGTAAAATAAAAGATTACGTACAAAGCGCAAGCTTTTACGATATTCCCAGTATAAATTCTAATTCGCCGATTTAGCGATAGCGTATGAAAAGGAAGACAGAATAAGATTAAATGCAATTCGTGCATCTTTATAAAAACATAAGGCTAATAAAACGTCGCTCGGACATTTCAAAGCAAAGCAATAATACTCATTACACATGATCGTGACTCAAATAAAAGCTGGATTATGTCCAACGCCGCTTCGATAAAATGGAAAAACGAAATGTAAAAATATTTATTGCAACGTAAGAGGCAGTTACGTCGTGATGCATACATAAAACTGAAGCCAAGGCACTTCGCGACGAGCGCGCCAACCGAAGGGAATGAAAGAAGCGCGGGGAGGAGACGAGCCAAGGCCGATGCCGGCTCGCCCTCATGGCGGCTCGGCTAATGCTGGAGATACGAGCCGGCGACCGGGACCGCCGGCTCCTCGGTGATCTAACGTCGCCGGCCGGTAGCTGGACGGCCAACTGAAGTGGCCGAATCAACTGAACCCGCGAGCCGCTCGGCCGTCGCAACGTTAAACGAGCTGCAACGTCGCGCTCGTGCAGCGCTTCTCGGGCGGGTCGCGGCTCGCGGACCGCGCGTGCACTCAGGGCCGCGGTGACCTTAGACACCGGCCCCACCAGTGGCTGGCACTCGCGCGTCCTTCGTCGAGAGGCACGGGGCTGTGCGGCTGGGGGAGGGCCACGTGCCACCGCGCGACCACTGACGTGTCAGCCGTGGTGCAGCGGTACAGCAGCGATGCAACGCGCGTGCACGCGAGCCGCCCCCGCGGAAAACTTCGGGAGGCCCTTCGTAGCGTTGTCTCGAGGTCGCGTGGGCGACGTTGGGTGGGAGGGGGGATAATAGACATCATCCCTCTCTCCGGCCCGCCCACGTCACGGGAAGCCGGTGGCACGTGCCGAGATAGAAAAGCTGATGCACTCGGGACTCTCGCGGAACTCCCCGTCAGTTCGCGCTCTTAGGAGATGATGATAGTGCGACTCGCCAGGCCACGCCACCGCCTCCACGCTCACCCCGAGACTGTCTCGCTCGCTTACCTTCTTAATCACTTATATTCTCCCCCACCCCCGCATCCGGTCAGCGCGCGGATGCTTGGAAATTTTACGATCCATTTATTGATCAGGAAGTGGTGCTGGTTAAGGCGATAGCGAGTCTCTTTGTCCTCCTTCTTCTCCTCTTCCTTCTTTTTCCCCAATTCCTTGTCAAGCATCTCAAGCATCAACCGAGTCATGTTGAAAATTGGAAAAGTGCAGTATAGTCGTGCGATAATAATCAATGGATCCTTAATGGCATAGCACATATCGCAACGACTTTTATGCAAAATTGTGCGCGATAAGTGTGCAAGCTCGCGCGCGCGCGAATTCGACGGAGAGGCGAAGAGTGGGAGTGAGAGAGGTGTGGGGGAGAGATCGCGATCTCGACCTTGAATAACACGCGGAGCTTAATCTCGTTCGCGCGTAGGCACACATCGACGACTAGGAGTGGGCGCGCGTGCAGGTGCAATCCGTAGAGTTCGGATTTCGCGTGCGCGCGCAACCGCGGCGTATCCCCTTGGAGTCCACGTGCCCATGAGCACGGACATCTCTCGGAGATGCGTTTCTGTCATTGTCGGGCGAGTGCCTTTGTTTCGTAATGGCCACGCGCAGCGCCGATACCGGGTGTATGGAGGTACAAAATACCGGGGAGCGGCCGGTGTTGAGTAATGCTGGCTTCTGCGCACAACTCGCTCGCTGTCGCTGTCAGCGAGAGGAGAAAAATCCTCACCACTTTATTATCGCGGCAAATTAGCGCAGTGATAGTGCACTTTTACTCGGGCATGCTCTGCCCGGAGGCGGCATTATTATTATTATTATTATTATTATTATTATTATTATTATTATTATTCTTATTATTCTTATTATTATTCTTATTCTTATTATTATTCTTATTATTCTTATTATTATTATTATTATTCGTAATAATACCGCTTGCCGAGTACGCGGAAAAGTCGTCCCTGAGCTTCGAATCAATTAATTTATTCTCGGATATAATGTGCTGCTCGCGGATAACGATCCACTTCCGAGAACGGCCGAGAATTTTCACATTTTAGCGCGACATTGTTCGGAATTGTAAAAAATTTTCCACTTTAAGCATAGAGCAATATTGCCGAGGTACGAGCAAGTTCCTTCTCACTCAACAAACTCATTCTAATTGGTCGTAAATGCGGGGCAATTGATATTGCGTATCCACCTGTATTCCTAGTAGTACTATTCGCAGCTCAAAACTTAACCAATAAGATCGATAATTAATATGTAACACTTACGACTTCGTTATCAGAGCTCGAACCGGTGTTGGGACTGCTTCGGATGTAGTCGTCATTTTCCACTTTACATCGGATCTGAAATTGAGCAGACGGGAGCATTGACATTTGGGCAGTTTTCAAAATTCGAGGGGACTTATCGATCGGCTGAACGGGATAATTAATGAAGATGCCGAGAATACTATAAGTACTAAATCGATTCGTTACGTCTTTACAACTAATACATCATTGAGCTGCAATGATAGAGATAAAATAGTATATTTACTTGCATATTGTCTTCGTTACTGTGCACGCAAACTACATATTAGTGCTGCAGGCTACTTTTCTCTGTCTGTCTCTCTCTCACTCGCACACACACACACACACACACACTCTCTCTCTCTCTCTCTCTCTCTCTCGCTTTCTCTCTGTGTTTTTTCCTTACCCGAGCTCGAGACCGTCGTATTCAAGAATAATATCGATTTTCAGCTCAAAAAGCAAGACATTTTGCCAGAGTTGCAATGGTAATTTGCAAATTCTTGGAACTTGCTTGGACTAAGAAAATTTAGCCTTGCGCACTTTTACAAACTATAACAATAATATTTTCCACGCTTACAACTTTGATTCTCAATTCGGCCAAGAATAAGCTATTTTTTAATTTCCCTCTACGCATTCGGGACAGCGCGCAGTATATTTAGACGTTTAGAATAGATGCATCAAAAGCTCTATAGTAGCATCAGTATTTAGAAGACTTAAAAATATCTCGAAAAGTTTGCGAAAAGAGTCGGGTCGTCGTCGTCGTCGTCGTCGTCGTCGTCGTCGTCGTCGTCGTCGTCGTCGTCGTCGTCGTCGTCGTCGTCGTCGTCGTCGTCGTCGTCGTCGTCGTCGTCGTCGTCGTCGTCGTCGTCGTCGTCGTCGTCGTCGTCGTCGTCGTCGTCGTCGTCGTCGTCGTCGTCGTCGTCGTCGTCGTCGTCGTCGTCGTCGTCGTCGTCGTCGTTGTTATTGACACCGCTATCGTTGTCGTTGTTGACATCGTTATCCTTGTCGTCATTGTCGTTGTTGTCGAGAGGGATGATGGCGGGTTGGCGGTGGGACGTCAGGAGGGGATTCGAGGCAGTGAAGGAGCGCTGTCACGAAGGAAGGAAGTTGTCATAAGAATCGAGATTTTCGCGACGAACCTCGAAAAGAACCGAGGGTAGGCGGGAGTGCCCCGACCCTCCGCCCCCACCGGATTCCACGTCCGCCGGGAGCCGCGCGGCTCTATTTCAGGCGCGCGCGCGCGAGAGTCACAGGGCCATGTCCCGGCTAATTTTAGAGGCCCCGCGACTTACGAAATGTGGCTGCCTACGGCGGTCCGTACGAAAAGCCTCGGATGATCGGGAAATCGGATACGGGCCTCCCCGAGGGGACTCCCCTCTCCCTTCCCAAGGATGGAGCCCGGCCGGCGTCGAAGCGCGGCAACTCGATAGCCCCTCGGATGTACGCTAATTCGCTTCTCCCACCTCATTCCACCACCTACTTGGCGAAGCCCCTCCTGCTCTTCGCGCGACAAAGTAAAGACCGACGGCTCTCGTCCATCCTATTCACTTGCGCTTTTAATGGATTCTCCATTCGATTATCCCTTGACGTACGATTGGCGAAAGCGGCCGAATACGCGTCCGGAGCTTCCTATGTTGGGCGTCTAGGCACCGGTGCACCGCCGACTTTTTAATACGACCGGTCAGCTCTCCCATGCCAGACGACAAATCCAGGAGTCTGCATGCGATTCTCCCCCCCCCCCACCCCGCCCTCAACACGCAACCCCGCCGCCTTTTCGTCGAACACGATCCGCCGTGAGCCTGTCCCAAACGAATAAAACACAAATTTACACGAAGTAAATAGCGAGTGAAAGTGCCGCGCCTCGACGGTACATCGCCGCTTCACCCCACTACCATCACCCCACCCGTTTTAAATATGCGCGTATTCCAATGCATCGAGTGCCATCCATGCCATCCATGCCATCCTCGACGGCTCGTCGACTCGCGCCCGACCCGCCCCCCCCCCCCCCCGCCCTCAACACGCAACCCCGCCGCCTTTTCGTCGAACACGATCCGCCGTGAGCCTGTCCCAAACGAATAAAACACAAATTTACACGAAGTAAATAGCGAGTGAAAGTGCCGCGCCTCGACGGTACATCGCCGCTTCACCCCACTACCATCACCCCACCCGTTTTAAATATGCGCGTATTCCAATGCATCGAGTGCCATCCATGCCATCCATGCCATCCTCGACGGCTCGTCGACTCTAGCGGCACTGCAAAATCAAAACTGCCGATGAAAAGTTTATGAGACACCGCGATTTCATTACTTTCGGGATAAGCAACGTCATCGTTTAAAAGTTTCACCTACGAAAACGAAAGCGATCGATGCAAAATTCGAAGGAGGCCTCCGCGAGCTCGATTTCTCTCCTCCTCCCTGCCCCCCCCCCTTCCTTCACCAACCAATCCTCCTCGCCGCCCCGCTCCAATAGCTATGGAAAACAAATGTTGCTCTCTTATCGCGATTGGCCACATTTCAATTTTCTGTAAATTTACACATCAACGCTGCTCCATACATTTGCTTCTTGAAAGCATTTTCCGTACTTCTTTTGGCCCTCTCCTCCACCCTATTCCCAATCATCCACTTCCTTTGCCTCCTCATTATGCCACCCACGACAAAGAAAAATTCTCCTATGCATGTGAGTATATAAGCCGGTTTTCAATATCCATTTAAGGATTAAACGACATCGATAAAATGGATGCATTAGCGCGTACGCATTTTTGGAAGAGCGATCACGCGGAAGAGACGGAGCTCCAAGCAAACTGATTAACGCACAAAAAATCAGGTCTAATCCTACGAGCAGCAACTCAGTTGCAACGCCGATCTCCAACGCTGTCTCGCCTCCTCCCAGTCTTTCCAATCCAGTTTATGAGCGAGCGGCGATGTGGAAGGGGGCGTAAGGACGTAGGGGGAGGGTACGGAAGGAGGAGGAGGAGGAGGAGGAGGAGGAGGTCGCGCTAGACACGCGGACGTCGAAATTACGCGATGGTTCGTTGCGCTGGCGCGAGAAGTGAAATCGAAAAAGTGGGCGCGTCGAGTTACTGGAGCTAAGGAGAATAAAAAGTCGGGGGAAGGCAGGCGAACGCTTGCCGTCGTCAATACCTTTCTTACAATTTCTCTAATTTTTAACGCTCATTTATTTCAAGGAACTCTAATATTCACGCCAACGAGCGCACTTTTCAATGTAATTCTCGTAATTGGCGCTTGAATTATCGTTGCGTAATACGCCGCACCGCCAATTCACAAATCAAGAATGCGCAGCGCTATGACAAAAACGTGCATATCTTCGCAATCGGAGAGACGCTGTAGTGCATTTTATTGGCAGCGTGTAAAAATAATTATTGAATTTCTCAATTCCGTGTAAATATATAACACGCGTGTACGAACGCACGCGCGCACGCGCGCCTTTATATATATATATATATATATATATATATCCCTCCTCGTGGGAGTCTGAAAATAGGGTTACGATATTTTAGCTCGCGAAAACGTGGGATGACGTAGAAAGGTGAATAATGCAGTTGTATTTGTGCGCAGATTAACGATCGTCCGGCTAAAGTAAATTTCAGAGGTGGTATAATTTTCAAAAATGTAAATTTTTAAAACGTGCTAGCCGATCGACGAAGGAGATATTTATTTAGCGCTCGAGGCTTGCCGCGACTAACTTTAACAAGCGCTTATTCATGTCAGATTACATAAGGACGGGAGGTCCTGCTTAATTGTACGTAACTCGAAAAGCCGAGCTCGTCGCTATTAGGTAACGCGCTCGTCGTTGCCTCGTAGCGTTATTCGGCTGTTAGGATTACGTAAGGCCGAGAGACGGATGCGGGCCGGTGCATCCAGCGCCCCTGAAGTTCCAAGCTTACCTTTTTCTTGCGAGGTCGCTCGAGATCGAGGTCTGGGACGATACCCTCGTCGTAGGTAGTGAAGTTGGGGCTGCTGGATGAGGATCCCTGTGCGTGATGATACTGATAGTACCGCTGATTGTGCGCCGGATGTACCGTGGTCGAGGAGTTGTTGCTCGGCCAAAGGCCTGTGCTGCTCAGCGCCCCCTCGTCGCTCAGTGGCGGACTCGGGGTGCCGCTACGCCAAGACGCGCTGCTACTGCTGCTGTTGGAGGTGCCGCCGATACCGGGCGAGCCTACGACCACCCTATTGCTGACGCTGCTCACCTGGTCGTCCCAAGAACCTATCCCGGACAAACGTATGAGCTGCTGAATGAGCGCTGTCTGTGATCTCAGGTCCCAAGGATCTCGCCTTGGCCCCTCGCACTTCCCGATGACGATTGCGTCCGAGAGTGCGATGGGGCTAGGGCATCGTCGAGATCGGGTGCCCTACTCGAGGCTGATGATAATTGTTGCTGATGGGGTTAGGGTTCGGGGTATGTGTACGGGGGGTGGGTTTGGGGCGTGCCTTATCGCGTCTATTACGAATTTATCGTTTTCGATTTATCGATGTACCGCTGGTCGTTATCCAGATAGACGTTTCGCGATCCGTGACTCGTTTGTATCGATCGATTTGTGTATTTATTGTCGGACGAAATGTGCTAATTGTTTGATAAATAGACGGAAGCGCGTTAGTTTTTGATGGGTCATTTTTGTCAAGCGGCCAGCGGGAATTCCTCGAAAGCTGGGCAAGGCCGAGGTGACGAGTGTCAGCGCGCGGCAGGAAAGTGTAGAAGCCGAGGGATGCGGAACATTGGCATTCGTCGGGGACATAGGGAGCTTCTGACCTCTTTCCAAGGCGATAATTATCGGTCGAGGAGTCGATTCGACAGTCGTTGATACGAAAGTGGCTGGAAACGTAGACGGGCTTCGATCGACGCCTTAATTCGCGAGAATTCAATATATTAGGAGCGTCATTCGCGATTATCGAAAATTAGCGTCTGCTCCAGGGATTTAATCATGTCGTTATGCGTACCAAGGACGATTGCACCGCGATCGCGGCTTAAGTCACGTAGTTCCGACGGGGTGCGTGGATGGTTATGGCGGCTTACCGTAGAGTTGCTGGCAATGAATCGGTAGTGGATTCTTCGGGGGTGTCGAGAGTGACATGAGAACCATGGCGGCCGAGCACTCGTCCATGTAACTTTCGCGCTGGCCCGGCTGGTTTGTCCTCTCGTTCCAAGCACCATTCGAGCGCTCGGAGTCATTGCTCGAGCTGGGCCTTCGTTTCCGAGACCTGTCAATGAGAATGAACATTGATTATTTTCCTTTAATTTTGTTTTGAAAATCGTAGAGGCTCTCGGTAGTTATTAATGAAATCAGATAGAGAGACAGAGAGAGAGAGAGAGAGAGAGAGAGAGAGAGAGAGAGAGAGAGAGAACAGGATAACGAACGCAGATTGTTTATGTATGCATGAGGACGTGGTTGCCTTTGTTTTTTGTTCGAACGCTACGGCTGTCAATTTCCACAAATTGCACTTTCCAAGCCAATGGTTCGTTCGGTTTATTAGTGACTTCCATGGCTCGGAGGATCGATACCGTGAGTTATTCATTTCCAACGGTCTCCAACGAGGGCACACAACACACTGCTTAACCTGGTAAACTCGGTCGGATACCCATTGGTTCGTGGCACGGTAGAGCCAGCATCCAATGGGGTCTCCTCAACAAGTTAGTCTCAATGCTTTCAACTTTAGTCGAGGTCGGGAGGATGATGATAAGGAGATAATAATAAGGAGCCCAGATCGATAAAAGTATGTCGCCTTGACGAGTAAGGCGCATAATAGGTGAAAACGAAATTAAATTTAAAGTTTTAGGAAGGACTGAGGTTGTAGTAGACCTTCCTGTGTCCTACTTTCACCACTCTACGTGCATATTCATTACGATCTCTCTCCCTCCCTCCCTCCCTCCCTCCCGCCCTGCTACTCCGCAGTGCTGAGCGCGCTTGCTCGCTCGCTCGCCGGCACTTGAACGAAGAAAGGCGAGAAAAGGAAAGCCGCTAGTAAAATTAAAATGCACGAGCATATTTAAGTTCATACATCGAAACGATTGGACGTGTCGTCGCGCCTTTTTATAGTCATCTCCGGAATGACGGAGTGCGAGTATACGTATCGAGCGACACGCAACTCTCGGGCTTGCACGCGTGTGCGGATGTGTACGTATGTCCTAGGAGGAGAATTCGCGCAAGCCGGTTACGCGTACCGCCGAGGTCGCAAATTATGTCGATTATTCCAGGAAAGCATTAAGACCCCGGTGCAGCTCGTAAAGTTTTGAATTTTCCGCGAAGCCTAAACTATCTTTATCCGCGTTACACGTTTCGTTCTCTCTTCCCTCTCGCGCTGCCCCCTCCCCCTCCCCCAACCCCCGCAACACTCGCTCAAACACTCACTCTATGTCTCTCTCTCTCTCTCTCTCTCTCTGTCTCTGTCTCTCTGTCTCTGTCTCTCTCTCGCTTTTTTAAGACGCTACATCGAATACGAAACTGTGCCAAGAGTCTATTGAAAGTTTTTTCAAACCGACAAACTAGTTCAGCGATATTTTTACATAAAAGCGATAAGTTACAAGCCAATTTAACGACAACAATTACGTTTTAGGTCGACTGCGCGTACTTTTATGGAATTAATTGCGTGCGGTTATTTTGAAAGGATTAATATTCGTAATTCAATTGTTCGCATAATGCGTAATGGCTCGCTCATTCGGCCGACGCTTTCAAATGGCCTCCTGCGAATTCAACGGCTCGACAACGAATTATTCCCCTGTACAATACGCGCGATATCCCCCTCCCCTACCTACTCTGTTCTTTGCAAAAAATAACCATATATATATATATATATATATATATATATATAAGGACTGATGGGTGCTCGTTTTGACATTACGAGAAGTAAGCTACAACTTGTTTTGCGAAGCAAAGCATATGGTAGAGAGCGCGAAGGCAACGATTGCTGCACTCACTTTATAATATATTTATGCAAGTGAGAGATGTATTATGCCAAGAGCGTTTCATAAGTTTAGGATGGCAAAATAATGATGCAACGTTGTTATTTTCACATGTACAAGCAAGTATTACAATAGCAATGTAACCAGACGCGAGCTAAACAGTTGATTGTAATAAACGAAGAAGCGATTAATTTCAAATTAGATGATCAGACGTCGAGTAAAATAATCGATAAGAGCCAACAGTCGAGTCAAACGACTGCTTTTCCTACTATTTACAGCCAATCACTTATTTAATTTCAATTAATTTTACTATCCCGCCTCCGATGCCAAGTATCACGCGCTCAGATAATTATCATATTATTTTTATGCATAAGTATACGTATCTCGTGGGTTTACACTCATACACTCTGCCGCTCAAATGTACACAGTGTGGAGAGAAAACACATCTAAAGACTCGATCATTACCGATCATAAATATCGAGTAATAAGGAAAAACTGGACTTTCTCCCAATCGAAGCTTGTAACGCTACAAATATACGACACTTGCCTTAACGGCGAGAATACAATTGCCTTTGTCTCCAAGTTCATAAATTTTAAAATCTTTCGAAATTTTTATTCGTCACTAAGGTAGAATGTTAAAGATGACCTTGCGGTAACTTGACAACAACAGCGCTTATATATAAGCCAACCTTGTCAGTATACGTGCATTTTTGTTTTTTTTTTCTTTTTTGTAGCCTCTCGTATCTCTGGAAAAGTAACGGTAAACCATCTGTGTCGTCGTTCCCCGATCGAATCCCAGTGAACGCGACCAAGCACAAGAGGTCAGCAAGCTCGAACTTGCACGACTCTCTATGCGTATTTTCTCTTGCTTAAAGTAAAGCCAGAACGTTTAGCCTATTGGAACGAGCGCTAGCCTTTTATTTACACAACTGGCCAGCTGAAACCCCAGTTCCAAGCAACGCTAATGAAAGCTAATGGAAGATAGGGGATGCTCGAGGAGAAGCCATCGCACCTTTGATATTTGAACAAGATAGCGGCGACTCACCCGTTAGAATCCCGGTCGTTTAACAACGGGAACGCAAGCTCGTAAGATCAGCTCCTCACGCACGCACGCACGTGATCTCCCTGTCGGCCAACCAACTCAATCAAACCGTATCCGTCCTACGAATCCCTACCCTTCGACAACGCGCGCCGGCACGCATACACACACGCACACACCCTTACGTCCCCACCCCCCCCCCCCCCACCACCG